GGGGGTTGGAGAGGAGATTGAAAGCGGGCATAATGACTGCTGCTGGAAATTGCGTAAGAGGAATGGATTGCAGGGCTGCTTGTGGGAGGGGCAGAGGTGGTCCAAGTTATGGTCAGTAGTTAGAGAGGTGGGAATAGATAATTGGGTAGGGGGGGTGATGGCAAGGTAGACACTCTTTCTTTTATTTTTATTGAAGAGAAGCGAACTGCTGAAGAAAGTGTAAAAGATTTGGTGTCAGGGGTTTTAGGGAGTGGAGAGGGGGGGGCACAAGCGATCCTATAGCTAGTGGAGGCGGTGAGATAATAGGGGAATAGGAGACGAGGATGGGAGAGGGGGTGGGGGAGGAGGGAGACTGAAGACGTGGCAGTTTATGTCCACCTCCTTCTTAAAGGGACGATGACGTGGGGGCAACAAGTGCCAGGTGGTGGCAGGGTTTTTTCCCCGCCTTTCCCTCTGTGTCCGGGCACGTTCTATTAGGTGGAGAGTCTTTTGTTGCGCTCACACCCTCTCTGGTCTCTGAGGCTGCTCGAGCGGCGTCTTGTTTGGACATCGGTATGGGCGAGCGATATCGACGTCAGCTGTCTCAGCTTGTGGTCACGCACGCCCTTGGCTGCAGTGCAGACGTTTGTGTGAACTTGTGTCTACCGTCTGTGAGTATGGAGGTGGGTGGGGGTGGCGGCAGATTTATCTGGGGAGTCTGAAACAGATTAGATGGAAAGGAAATTGGAGACTAAGTGGGGAAGCGGGGGGGGGGGGTGACTATGAGTCGGATAAGTAGGCTCTACAACGTCGATAACCTCGATTTTCTGCTTCAACTGATTCTACTTTTAAACTTTTGACCCATTTTTCAAACCAAAAGACTGTTTGGCTGCGTTTGGTTACTTTTTGTATAAGTAGGCCTAATTGAACTGATAACAACAACATGTTTAGCATTTATGTCGGTAGTTTGATAGGTGACCAAAAACGAATGTAGGCTTGAATGGCAGAAAGCAGGCATAGACAGTTTGGTAGCAAGACAGGCAGGCAGGTTGATTGTTGTCCTTATCCTTATTCTGAAATCATTTACAGACTGCTTTCCTTTTCAGACATGTTTCAGAAGAAGAAGAAGAAGAAGAAGAAGAAGA